CCCTCCACTTACCAGGTCTCCGCCCCCCATGATGGTGGTTACGTGTCCTCACCACGCGGATGTGGAAGACTCAGGGGGTGGGGAGGTATCCGGAGAGGACGTGGAGAAATCGTCCAAGGGCGACCTCCCGGGACCTGTCCCGGAGCCACCAGCGGCCACTTTCACCAACCGATCTAGAGGCCACTTCCGGGAGAGCGTCAAATCGCCGCGTCGGCGTCGCGGAACGATGACGTTGGGCGCTCTCGGTCGCGCTCTGTGACGGTACATCACGTGCCATTTCCTCAACGTAACAAGGCGCTGGTGTCGCGGGCTCTGCGACTTGTCGCTTAGCTACCTTGGGTCGCTTCCTGGCTTGGTGTCCCGAGTCGTCCGTTATAAAGCCACAGCTCCGTTCAGTTGCGGGTCGCCGTGGGGGGGGGGGGTCCCCGACGGGCCGTTGCCATGGCAACGCACCGTGGCGTCCTGCCGGCGACGGACTCGGCAGGCCCGGCCAGGCTCCAACAGGGACCCGGCGAGGCCGCCCGCCGCATCCTCACACCCCCTCTACCGAATTTTCTAACCCGACTTTTCTCACTCCCTGCAAGCCTCACGCCACCCCCACCCTCCTGGCCGATTGTGCGGAGACAGAGAAACCACCAGCCGGAAGGCCATCGCTTCCCTGGGTCACCTGTGCCTGCCAGCTGCCCTCGTGGCAGGTTAACCCTTGGCGGGCAGCTGGCCGAGTCCTTCCCTCGGGTGTTTCGGGAGAGGCGCCCCTCCCAGATAAGGCTTGACAGTCCCTCTCTGGGTCTCATCCTTCGCCTCTCGTGTTACTCGATTCCTTCCTCCCCTGTATCTCCCTCAATACTGGTTCTTGGTTAACATTTTAGACATGCTCAAACAGATACTTCAAAAAAAATCCCGCCGGGCTCGGTGGCTCAGCCTGTAATCCCGCGCTTTGGGAGGCTGAGGTGGGTGGATTGCCTGAGCCCGCGGGTTCGAGACCCGCCTGGGCAACTTGGCGAGACCTCATCTCTACAATAAATTAAAAAAAAAAAAATTAGCCGGGCGTGGTGGCACTCGCCTATGACTCCAGCTACTTGGAAGGCTGAGGCAGAAGGATCGCTGGGGCCCAGCAGGTCGAGGCTGCGGTGGTCGGGAGCGCCCCCTGTGCTCCAGTCTGGTCGACGGAGTGAGACTCCAACTCAAAAATAAAAATAAAAAATAAAATAATCCCAGCCGGGCGCGGTGGCTCACACCTATCATCCGAGCACTTGGGGAGGTGGAGACAAGAGGATTGCCTGAGCCCAGGGGTTCGAGACCAGCCTGAGCAACTTGGCGAGACCTC